CATAATTAAAATTATTTTACTTAAAAAAGTTTTATTAAATTGTTCTCTCTCGGCCTTCATATTGATACTACGCTAAGTTGGCTGACGCAGATCGCCAAAGTCAGTCGTATCATTTCTTTTTCGTTACGTACCCTTAATCGCTTCAGAAATATTCTCCCCATCAAAACTAAGATCACTCTCGTTGCGTCCCTTGTTCTTCCTCTCATTGATTATACCGATGTCTGTTATCCTGATTTAAACGCAGATCTTCTCAATAAATTGGACCGCCTTATGAGCAATGCTTATACGTTTCGTCTTTTGCCTCTGCAAATTTGACCATGTTTCTTCATATCGATCCCAACTAAAATGGCTTCCTATTCACCAGCGCAGGCAGTTAAGATATTCTGCACTCTTTTTACCATTATTTCCAAACCACGTTCTCAAGTTTCAGTATCTCTGTGATAGTCACGATCGTCCTCTCCGCTCTTTGTGATTCATTAGCTCTCTATATTCCTCTTTTCATTCAGAATATATGTCCAACTCCTTTACTCTTCAAGTCATACTACTGTGGAATGACTTCCCCGACTCCATCAGAAGATCTCCTAGTAAACTTATATTTAAAAGGAATGTTCACGCTCATCTGTTGCAAAATTTAAGATGAAGTGTCACTTTTTGATCATCATCATCTATATATATATATATTTAAATATTAGTATATTATGTTTGTATGATTTTAACTGGAGGTGGAGTCCAGACGCAATGTAAGCTAGTTAATAAACAAAAACAACAAAGTGCGAGTTGGGTTCTGTACCAATGTACAAGATTGAATACTACGTAGAACAAAAAACATGTGTAAAAACTCGTACCTACTAAGTAATTTTGTCACGCAAGTATTTGCGTATGTTTTTTATTTCTAGTTAACTCACAAAATTGCTCTCAATAAGAAGTTATTTTGACCGCACAACAACGAGACTGGGTAAACTTCATTCATAAAATTATGTAAAATTTGCCGCCTCGAATAGTATTTTTTTTTATCAAAGCCTAGATTGCACAAAATGTATTTGCATTGCACTTTTTTCCAATATCCATAAAATTTCGATAGGCTAATAAATTCGAATGGCTAGATAGATCATCACAATACAGATGAAAATATAAATGATAAAATTTAATAATCTTTATCACCATTATTAAGAGATATATAGATCACCCTAACTATTACGCCATCGGGCTTCTCAGATTTATTTTATATTATTAGTATAATTTGATGTTATTCCCACGCAACGTTGCTTCGCATCGCAAAGGACAATGTTAAAATTGGCCTAAGAACCAACACCAATTTGGCATTTATGATAATTCTTAGTATATTTTTTGCGATAATTATCAGTATTTAGATTGAGACGGACACTTCCAGTTAAGTAAGCTAAATTAAAAAGTTAAAAAATAATCTGAGACAATAAATACCATTTTATGTGTATAATCTATGGCAGCGCTGCAAACAAAACACTCTTTCTTCCTAATGCCGGCACTTCACTTGGCTATTCGTATTTGCTATTTTAAAGCATGACATCAGTTTGTCCTTTTCATTCCTTATTAAGCATGACAAGGGCAAACTGTTGTCAAGTGAAGGGCCGGGATAAAACTCGTTACTCTGTGGTTGTGGTGCATGCAGCTTGCATTTGTAGTAATCTGTGGCATTCGTGCATTCCAAAGAGTAGTATAATATACCGGAAAGTGCATTCTCGTTTCGGATTATACCTGTTGTGTGTGTTTATTTGCGATTGTTTTTCCTTTAATTTAAGTTTTTCGGCTATCGAATATGTCATCGATGTTACCAAAGAGCAGAGCCCTTATTACCCAGTGCTAGTGAACCTGTGCCATAACATCCTGAGAGGATCATACTACCAAATTATTCAAGAACACCTGATACACATTCACACTGCATATTTACACAATATACATGTGATATACAAATAAATACAATAAACAATATGATACAATTATGTGAAAAATAGTCAATAAATAAGAAGCAAAACTACAGTTTTTATTTTATTCATGATTCCTGCCTAACCAAGTTTTTCCTAATAGTTATTCTTTAAAATCGCACCGAATAAAATGAATTAGTTGTAATATTAATTCACTTCATACTGAGTTCATACTAAATTCATAGGTTGACCTATGTTTCATTAATTATTAAACATAACCTCAAAAAATTTTTAGTTTTCCTAATAATTTAAGTTCTCAGAAGTGTCCGTCAATAATCTTTGTTTTTACAGTCATTTAATTACGATTTTGAACCTAGAAAATAATATTTCATGATTGTTGGTTCTTAGGCTAACTATGTATGGACGCTGAACAATGTCCTTTGTCTTTTTTTATAAACATATGAATGTAAAATTAAAAAATATAAAAATTGCTCAAGTATGCTAGTTTCCGTTGCACTATAATTATAAAATTACTAAACTTAAAATTCCTCTCAGTCTTAAGAAACAAAATTTTCCTCGTAATTTTATTCTTTATTAACAGCTCGCGATAAGTGTTTGATACGTCTTTAAGGAAAATGGTGATTGTAATATCTATGAATATTTGCTTATCACACATCAAAACATGTAGGTCAACGACTTTTTCTGAAGGATCTCCTTGGCGTAGCGTTGTGAAGGAACTTTCTCGGTCGGCCGGTCCTCGGATCGATGTCGATCAGTTTTGCCGTTTACAATATAGTAAATATCAACTCATAAGGTAAGCGTGTACTTAAGAAAGGTAAAGCGAATTTTGCCGCTTGAATTAGGATCTCTGTCTGGATATGTAACATCAACTTAACAGAAGTCAGCAGTAAAATAACACCACATTGTGATGGTGTTTTTTTAGATAGATTTTCAGAGATTTAATGGTTGTCGGTGGATTTCCAGAGATTTCCAGAGATTAAATGGTCGGCGGTGTCGTGTGAGGCGGATCGTTGCGTTTCCTAAAATATGGTTGAGCGAAGCGATGGCTGGTTCATGCGTCGTCGTCTCGTGAACGGGTGCTGCCAGCGGAGATAAGTCTGCTCTTACTTCATTGGGTACTATTAATCGTTGTACTAAACTTTTATCGTTCATTTTTTTGCCCAAACAGTAGGACACGGCATTCCTAAACATTCCTAAACTTTGTTAAACCAGTTTTTTTTATTTTATAGTCATAATTTTTATATAATTTGCGTTTGTAATGGAAAGTGACTTTATGAGTTACCTCATATTGAAGTCATTTTTCAAATTGACGACTCTGTCTAGCATGGTAGGCAAGCACGTGTGATCATCCAGTATCATCGTTATCAGAAATGCGATGAAATTATACTTTAATCAAATTGACTTATAGAAAGCTCTTTGGAATTGTCCAATATTTTCTGGACATCTTTTAGCTGATGAGATAAATAGGCGCAAGAAACTCATCATTTCACAGATCATATCACGCATTTAACAGAAGTAGCAACATTTACATAAAATCATGGGGCTACCAATACAAAATCCAATCACATATGGATTGCTGTGTCATACAGAACAAGAACAGAAGTGTATTATAGACTTCGCAAGCTACTGCAGGCTAGTGCTAATTACATTAAAAAATATTTTCATTAAAGCTGTGTCCATAATGTAACGGTTTTAACTGAACAGATTAGGACGCTACAACTTTTCCTCCGATCCTCGTATCTTGTCCTGATACGTCTGCTTTTCAGTGCACCTTCCCCTCTCGTAAAGTTCAGTCATGTCACGGTAATATTATCTTATTACCGTGGTCATGTCTTCGTTCGCACACGGTTCAGCGATGTCAACGTACGCGGTTCAAATGCATTCACGTCCAAACTTGTTCAAAACGACGTGTATCTCCTTTGATGATCGCGGAAAAACCAACACATATATCACGTATCATATCGTGATACAGTTTTTTTACAGTTTATCTTCGGTTCTTTGCCTAAGGGACTCCTTTTAATAATATATCTTAGTTATTAATTTTATGTTTTAAGATTTTTAGTTTTAGTTTTATTGTTCTAGTATTTATATTTTACTTATATATAGTAATTATGTAATTAGATAGAGACTTATTTGTTTATAGTTAGTGTATTTTATAGTTTTATGATGTGAAATTGTTAATGTTACTATATTTGTATCTTGATTGTACTTCTCGAGTAATGGTTTAAGTTGGATATCTTTCTTTAGAAAAGGAAAATTTCTTAGGATTTGCTTTTAAAGTTAAACGACTGTTTGTAAAGTTTTTTTATGTTCTTCAATTTTTATCAACATTTATTCACTACTTTAAAGGGAAATCAGTAAATAAACAACTATGTTTCATTATACAAATATGGACGAAGCTTTACGGGTTTCAAGAGGTTTATCGATCTAATTTGTTGAATGCTTTAATGTCTGTAAAGTTTACATAAATTTATGTTCAAGCAAAAAGCTTTATATCCCGCATAATATGTGCATCCTTCTTAGTAAATGCAGGTGCCAAACCAATGCACATTGTATGCATATACATTTTATGTATATTCAGTAGACTCCTCCCATTCATAATAGTCATCTAAATAACTTATTTACTTACTAATAATTTGATATTTTCCCTTTCGTACATAGTAAACAAAAGACTTGCAGCGAATGGTGTCAAGCTTTAATTTAATGGTAATCTTGATTTGTATAAAAAGAATATTGCTCAACAACTCAAGTTGTATGTATGGTGTTTGTTTTAGTATAGAACCGTTTCCCTCCCCTATTTTGTACATATTTACCTAAATAGTAAAATTTAATAAACGAAAATTTTACAAGTTAGCTAGTCCACAACTTTCGAATTTAGTAAACTGTTACTTTGATAAAGCATTCAAAATAAATACATATCAAATGGAATATAAATGTTGTTGTGACTTATTTTTCTTTAAAACTTGTTGGACGAGTGTGGAGGCCTCAAGGTCCGTATACGAGTAAGAACAAATATAAACAGACAAATAAGAGTAATATAAAAAGTTTGTGTAGTTATAATATAACTTAACAACTCACGTCCGCTCGCCTTGCATATGACGGCGAAGATCGCCGAGCACATTAGTAACAGCTTCATATTTTCAATTTTTGGAGCACAATATTAACACATGACACTTTTTTTTGTTATTTGGTCTTGTGGAGCCATGTCGTTGCCGTCTTAGCGGTCGGCGGTGTTCTGAGAAAGAATCGAAGCGTGTTGTCGAGTTATCCTCGTTGCGTATGCTCACGCGCATGACGATTGACGAGTGGTTACAGTACGGGAAAAATGACGTGACGTCTTTGTATACTTGACGACCTCCGTGGCCGGTTTGTACGCCGGGTTTCGTGGTGTCGCCGACTCGAGAGGTCTCGGGTTCAAACCCGGTGGGGGCAGATGTTTGTGTGATGAATACGAGTATTTGTACTCCAGTCATGGATGTTTAATATGTTTTATAATATATATATATATACAGTATGTGTATTCTGTCCGTTACCCTAGTATCCCATAACACAAGCCTTACAGAGCTTACTTTGGGGTCAAATAGTCAATTGGTATGTTTAAAAAAGAAATATATATATTTATAGTCTAACTATAATGTAATAAGTAAGCATTATTAAAAACCATAAATAATTAAGCGGGAAGTCAGAGTAGTATTTTTAAATATTGTTCTAAAGTATATTGTATACATAAAAATTCACAGTAAAAAGCATTTTGATGCATTTCTCCATTATCAGACTGATTATTCCACTTATAGAAAGAATGAGTTCTCTAATATATATAATGAAAAACTATGAATCTGCAGTGCTATTCTGTAAAATTTTTACACGCAGATCCGATGAGGATCCACTCCTTCCCGACATTAATCTGCGCGGATTCTCATCGGATCTGCACAATAACAGTCACCGCTAGAGTTTCGTGCCGCGACTTATAACTATCGGACTTAATAGAATATAGTTTACCTCGTCATGATCCATATTCTTCGTTTTGGTTATTGCCGGGTGGCCGTACGAGTTTCGCTAAAGGCTGTGTGGTAAGGAATCAATACATACAAAAATAATTGAATAGTCTTCGAACGCGACTGCTTCCAAACATTCAAAGTGAAAGATATTTAATATTAACAGGCTTCAATCATGGATCCTGCTTTAATCAATCAAAATTAGTAAAATCTTTCAAATTATTTGAATTTTAAATTAACTCTGTTGCAGTTTGTGGATCTCGATGGTGGAAGTGGTAAGCGACTTCAACTTTCGCAGTGGTCAGTCATTCGATGGGTGACCAAAAATTTACCATCTCGAGCTCCTCCGTGCTTCAGAAGGCACGTTAAGCAGTTGGTTCCAGCTACATTTGCAGTCATTAGCACCCACCAATACGCAGTGGTGGGTCATGGCCTAATCTCCCTATTCCATTTATAGGAAAGGCCTGTGCCCCAGCAGTAGGGATATTAATAGGCTGATGATGATGAAGTGGATAGTTTGAAAATCTCAAATTGAATAGTATGAATGTAAGTATCATAGAAGTTGAAATTACAGAATTAGGGAGTTGATTAAAATAACCGGCCGGACAAGTGCGTAGTGAAGCGTTTGAGATGTTTGATGGCGCAGATGGTTAGCGTGTTCAGTCTACGATCGTGGAATTTAAGCAACTTGCAGAATGACTGGTCTTAGGATGAGTGACAAATACCTTATTATCTCGAGCACCTCCATGCTTCCGAAGGCTCGTTAAGCCGTTGGTCCCGGCTGCATAGGCCCTCGTGGTAGGTCATCACCCAATCTTGCTATTGCATGCTTACAGGAAATCATGTGTCGCGGGAGTGAGTACATCGCAAAACGACTGATGACGATTTGACACGTTTCATGATTCGTTTTATACCCCCTTGGCATTGGCGAACATCATTCAAAACTGAAAAATTTCTGCAACTGACTTTTTGACTGATCTTCTTAATGATTTAATTTCAATTGATTGAGAAATTGTGACTTTTTGTGGTTACTTTATGTGTATTTGTAAAGCTGTCCAGTCCAGCTTAGCTTTTCAGTGCTACCTCCAGAACCTGAAGTATCCCAAAGAAGGACTAGGATGGTATACTTGCGGATAGGGTTATAGACGATGGATTGTTAATCTTCCATAATTTTTGTATTAAATGTGTATTACAGGTCACCGGTAAAACAGGCGGAAAAAGTCTGTAGGATTTGATGTCAGTTTGCTGGCAGTTTAAATTATGACTGATGGATAACCTGTCGTCTAATGGGGTGACTGATGACTTATTCAGTCACGGAAGTTGACTGATGGTTTTTTATGATTAATGATTGATGGAATTGTCAAACGGCTGCATGATAACCAGTCGTCTAATGGTGACTGACGACTTTTTAAGACACGGAAGTTGACTGATCGCTTTTTATCATTCATGGGTGACTAATGGTGACTGATGACTTTTTCAGTCACAGAAGTTGACTGATGGTTTTTTATCATTAATGATTGATAGAAGTGACAGACGGCTGCATGATAACCTGTCGTCTAATGGTGACTGATAATTTTTCAGTCACGGAAGTTGACTGATGGCTTTTTATCATTCATGGGTGACTGATAGTGACTGATAACTTTTTCAGTCACGGAAGTTGACTGATAGTTTTTTATCATTCATGTTTGATGGAATTGACAGACAGCTGTATGAGCATCCCCAGACGGACGCTCCAATTCGTTTCCCACGAATCCTTTCCTTTATGCCATACTTTTAACAAAAAAAAAATACGACAAATCTGGATATCTTCCACCATCAGGAACGCAACACCAACAAACTCCGATGGCCACTCCAATGCTAGCGGGACATCCACTGTGCCGTGCAGAGGCACTTTACCTTAGTGTCAATAGGCATTCGTTACTTAGATCTTACAAATGTCGTTATTTTCGATCCTGTGTAAAGTGGAGAGAAGTGCCCTCAGCAGGAATAAAAGTGTACATAAACGGGTTCAATACATTATGTTTAAACATAGTGCTTCAATGGGCTGTCTTATCGCTAAAAGCGATTTCTTCCAGACAACCTTAGGATGGAGAGGATTGAAAGAAACTGGAGTCGGTGGTGTTATAAAAGAAACAAGGGCAAAAAAACTTATTTAACTATATATATTAAATATATATACATACCATAAAAACATATTCTGTGTTATAAAGATAAAACAATGCCTTCGATGCTTTTATAAAGAACTCAAATAGTTCCAAATCAAATAACAAATTCCTCGGCAACACTTTTCATTCGTAAAACTGTAAATACATTTTTTTCCCAAAAATTACCATTTTGTTATCAAGAAAAGGACAACAATCGTTGAAGCGTTTAGTTGTGTCTCGCTCGCTCGATTGAATGTGTATATTCAGACGTGTGCGTGTGTGAGAGTTGCTTATGTAGTTGAGTCGGATCATATTTTATTTGATGCTAGGATGAGCGTACCGTATCTACGCTTTTTGTTTTAATGTAATGTAAAACCCCTGACTGTAGTAGCATGCGGTGGAGACGCGCGCGCGTTCGAAGCGACTATGTAAAAGTATCGGTCGCAAGCAATTTGTATGATTACGCATTTTACAAACGGCGTCATCCTTTAAAAACGCTCTTTGTTTTAAAATATGCCGAAGGCAAAATGCAAATTGTCTCGTCACATTTTAATTTGCCACAACATTTGATAGACAATTCAATCGGCGTTTACAAAATGTAAATTTTTTCTTACCACGCATGGTGCATTTATTAAAACAAGAACGATTTCTAGTTTTGTGTCATTTTTCTGTGACACAAAACTAGAAATCGTTCTTGTTCGTGTTTGTGTCGTTGGAGAAACGGCCAAGTGCGTGTCCTGCCACGCGCAGGGTAGGGTTCCGTAGTTGCTAGTAGTTACCACAATATATTTGAGCAGGAGTGTTTATTTTCGATATCGTAAATTAGAAAAAACAATTAATATCAATCTATGTATCTCAACTAAAATACCTAAATCAAGGTCAAACTTCATCTCATACTCAAAATCAATTTAGTATTATTATTAATTTTTAATTCAAATGATAACCGCAAATTTGAAATCCTCATGGAAACTCTGGAGCTGGCTACAAGGTTATGTCAGACTTTTATTGACTAAAAGCTTCATCTGAAGCGATAACCCCTAAGAATGGGATGATGCGCTATAACCGCTGATCTTTTCAAGTGCTTATATTTTTTTTATAAATAAAAACGTAACGTTACTCAGAAGCCGTTGCTCTTGGCACTCGCGGTAGCGTTGTGCAACTAATGATATTTCATTGTGGTTTTTAAATAGTTTTTTTTTATATTTTGTTGCTTTGCAAGGTTTTACGCTATAATAACTTCATCTATGTCATTTTTAATGTTTTCTTCTAAGAATTTTTTTTTAACCAAAGTTGAACGACGATTTCTTTTAAAGTAACAAATCTATCTTAACCGTTATAGTTTTCCTTAAAAGTTCATGAAAAGCACTTTTATCATGAATTTTCATGGGGTTTCAAACCAGTGGTTTAGCTTTTAGAAGGATGAGGTGAGGTGAAAATTAGCACTTTATAGTTCAATATTTCGCGAACGGATTACTTAATCGAAAAAGAGTCTTACCCCTAAGTAACTATTTTAAAGGACCTATTCAACGATATCCCACACGATGGGGTAGATGATAAAAAAAAACATTCCCAGATTACACCATGTATCCTAAATAAATATTTTTCAAAATTTTATTCAACCATTTTGTTGGCGTGATTGATATACACACGGCGTCAAAAAAATCGCACCTTTTAAAAATCATCTTCAAAAATTCTTAAACCTTATTGAGAGAATAGTTTTGTGTATCAAAGGTAACAAAAAAGAGAATCAAAACATCATTAATTTTTTTTTATTTAATTACAATTATACAAACAACATTACTGAGCGGCATCGGGCCTCTGTGTCGGGCGGGCCCCCACATTGACCCCGTGTGGACCGTTTTATACCCACACAAGGAAGCGCAACTAGCGACTCTCACGGTAGCAAAATTTGCATCGAATTTTTGTGATACTTTATTTGTTGCAGTAAGTTTTATTTGATAATAAAAAGTAATGTTTTTTTATCAAATTAATTAAGTAACCTTTTAAATATCACATGTGCAAAGAGTAAATGACATTTGAAAGTGATTTTCTAAGAGGTGCGATTTTTTTGACGCCGAGTGTATATATATCTCCACAAAATTACAGATCTCTAGTCTCGTTTCCAAGGAAAATCGGGGACGGACAGATGGACATGACGAAACTTTAAGTGTTCCTTGTCAGGTACTACGGAACCCTTAAAAACAGTACAAATTATACGTGTTGAAGGCCTTTTCATAAATAAAGAGTATTGTTAAGTGAATTAAGTTACGATTCACAAATAGGAGCAGTAAAAATCTGTGCACTTCTATTTTATGTGTTATTGTCTTCTTTCGCTTTACGCTTCACCTCAGATCCCTTCTTAACTAAAGAAAGCTGCCAATGTGATATGACGTTTTTAAATACTTGACACACACATCCATATTTGTATATTACAAATTGGAATTAATGCATATTGCATGGTATATATCAATGAAACACTGTAAGAGATATTTTTAAATTTTTATTTTCCTAACTTCGTCAATAAT